CCGTATATTCTATTTGGTCTTTATGCAAAATGGCCGCACTGTTTGCACAACAGGAATCGGAACAAAGAAACAGAATGGTACAAAAAAACGGCATGTCGGCGCATTCGCACACTAGAATATTCGGAACAACATGGCTCAAAACAGGAATGAAACATTTAGAACCCTCGTAAGGGTAGAATACACTATCAAATTATTTGCTCGCAGCACATCATGCTAGTGGTATCTCCCCACGACAGTCGGGTCTATGAAATCGGTACAACCCAGATTTACATATGTTCGCCAATCTGATAATTACTGAAAATTATCAGGATTTGGCGTTCGCGCACGCAAAAACTTGCAAAGTAAGAGAAATTCAGAGCGCAAAGTGACAGTAGATTTTGGGGGGAAGTTGCTAATTCTTGCTGGAAGAATTTTTGCCAGCAAGAAAATTAGCTGATCCAGAGCCATCACTTCAACAACTATCGTTGCAGGACGTCCTGTTTCGCCGCCACGCCTTCCAGATATGCGACCTTAAAAAAGTGAAAAATGATAGTTAACAAGCAAGCAAACAAGAAAGGTGTAAAAATCACTTACCTTCATATATTTCTCTATGGGTCCGGGCGAATACTTCACGACCCGGATGGCGACGATTGGGGTATCGCTCTGCATAGAGTCTTTGAGCAGCTCTGGCATTACAGCAAGCTTCACCGTAAATTAGGTGAATATCCGCATATTCATGCGACGTATACTGCGTGTTCTCTGTCATAGTATTAATAACACAACGTTCGAAGGGTCCAATTTCACAAAATCCACTTTCACTAATTCCGGTAAGTAACACAAAATAATGTCAGGAGCAGGTAATAATGTACCTTTGTACTATTTAGCATGTCATTTGACGGTAACAAGAGCAAATTCAATTTAAATCTATTAAATACATTCTAGCGTGTCTCAGTCCTTTACCCACAAAAGCGGCTATAACTTTTTTTTCTATTCAAAACAGTAAGTGTGGCACCTTTCTGAAATCTTTATTAAATGAGCAATTTTTTTATGTAATGTAAAGTTATAGCTCAGTACATTTTTTTTCACCCGAGATAGTCAAAGTTGGGGAAGAAAATATCAAAAAGTTAAAAATCCAGAAATAGTCCTAATTTCATGATGGTTCCTTAATGTATTTTAACTACATTGCATTTGAGTATGGAGAGGCAACTATCTGGAAGTATTTGACATAAAAAATTTAATAAGTATTGCCCGGTTTGTGTTGCAGTTAAAGAAAACACATGAAAATATTTCGTTATTGAAATATTTCAAAAACGGTGACACTTTTACCTGAAAATTTTTTGTTTATCAGTGAGCTCACCCCCCTCCTACCTTCCCCAAAAGTTTGGCACGTTACTTCTGGGACACCCTGTATATATTTTTTTTTATGTGCCGCATTACTTTGGACCACGTCAACCGATTTCGATAATTATTTTTCTATCGGAAAGGTAGTGTCTCACGGATGGTCCCATACTAATTTGGTTTAGATCCGATCAGTGGATCATGGAACGGTATTGCTAAATTTTCATATGAGAAGTCGGTTCTGTTTTTTGCTGAAAAATTACTTGTTTATGTTTTAGTATGTAAACAAACTTACAAGTTTTTGTTAATTTAATGTTCGCGTACTTTTTTGGACATCTTCAAATCTTGGAGATAATTCGTTACTCTCCTTCAAGTTGCTACTGGATATTTGTCACTGGAGATCTATTTGTACAGATTATATATCTGGCAAAGGTCTGTCACTTCAACAATAGAGGCCTTATATTGGATTCATGGCAAATGCTCTTTTGGCTGGTATTAAAAATTGCCTTATTGATAAAAAATAAAATAGGTATGTAAATTTAAAAACCTTATACAGGGATTTTTTTTTCGAATATTAAAGAACTTCAAATCTAATTTTTCTTTTAAAGAAATTGGATGATTGCCTCTTAAGAGGAAATGGGACCGATAAGCAAAGCATAATGAGCAGGTAGTAGGAGACGAGAGGCAGATTTGAATTTGTTCGTACATTTATCTCCCAATATTAGTTGTGTTCCCCAACTTTTCTGAATAAAACCTGTAAAACTGTCAAAAGAAGCCAGAGAACCGAGTACGGGAACGCTTTCTGGTAAATTCCTGTAAATTCTTGCGAGTTAAGGCTTTTATAGCCCAGTTATGCATACTTAGCTTTGCATGAGAGTTGTCACATAAGAATCTGTTAAACGGGCTTTGCGTGTAAGCGGTTACCAAACGCATAGTACTTAATATGCAGAATTCTGTTGGGTTTTGATTTTTACGTAAAAATGGTATAGCAGTGCAAGTGTGCATAACTGGGCTATTAGTTATGCATACTTGGCATTGCATAAGAGTTGTCACATAAGGAATCTGAGCTTTGCGTGTAAAGGCTCTGTTATGCATACTTGGCATTGCTTGAGAGTTGTCACATAAGGAATCTGTTAAATGAGCTTCGCGTGTAAGCGGTTACCCAACGCACAGCATTACATACGTAAAAGTCTGTTGGTTTTTAATTTCTACGTAAAAATGGTATAGCAGTGCATGCAATGCCAAGTATGCATAACAGAGCCTTTAGGGAACGCAGCTTCTTTGTACTTCAAAAAATGTCCAAATATTTGTCAAAAGACGCGAAGCTCATTTAACAGATTCCTTATGTGACAACTCTCAAGCAATGCCAAGTATGCATAACAGAGCCTTTAAGCGGTTACCCAACGCACATCATTACATGTGTAGAAGTGTGTTGATTTTTGATTTCTACGTAAAATGGCATACTATGCAGTGCAGTGCAAAGTATGCATAACTGAGCCTTTAGGGAACGCAGCTTCTTTGTACTTCAAAAAATGTCCAAATATTTGTCAAAAGACTGCGCCTAAAACCATCCTGCGAAAAATTGATTTAAACGCTTTAAAAACATACATACAAAAAATTAAAAAATTTTAAAATCTAATTTTAGGCCCTATCTTTTACAAAATGTCATCACGAAGGCTTTTTTGAATAAATTAAATAAATATGGTATTTATTTAAGATGTGCATTTAAAATATTTTTTTTTTACAATATTTTGCTTGAGCATTAAATGCTTGCTAATTTAATATCACTACGCGCATAAAAGTAAAGCGCTAATTTGCAGAAATATATATATTTCAATGTCCAAATTTTTAGCTTCTATGGCATATCTCTTCGTACGCTTGGGTTCATTTATCGTCTAATTATCACTTTCACGTTTCACCTTTTCAATTTCAACAAAGCGATTGCGTTTATACTGATCTTTGTAACCAGCAATAAAGCGCAAGCGACCTTCATACTGCGTCTCTAAAACAGTTTGTACCATAGGTGGATGGTCTTCTCCCAATTCCAGCCATAGCTTGCCGCCAGTCCTCAAATGTTCACAAGCCAGGTTGAAAACTAGACGAGCAACACGTAGACCATCCGGTCCACCATCCAAAGCATTCAAGTTTTCATAGCTACATAGAAAAAGTTTAGATTACTTTAAAATGTGGACAAAATAAATTATTGTACGCAAACTTACATTACTACTTCCGGTTGCAACAAAGGAAAGTCTTCCGTTTTTACATATGGCGGATTGCCAACTATTAAATCGTAGGTTTCGTTTACCAATTCTGGTGGTACATAGTTGTCTTTTTCCATAGTGTGATGATATACGGTAAATCGTTTATCTAAACCCAGCATTTCGGCATTTTCTCTAGACAACTCTGTTGCTGCTTTACCACGATCAATGGCTGTGCTGCGCACATTTGGAAGTGCATTCAAAATGGCTAGAGATATAGCGCCAGAGCCACAGCCCACTTCAAACATGTTAATTGGCTCATTAATATCACGATGCGCTTCAATTACTTTAGAAACAAATTCTTCCGTTTCAGGGCGTGGAATGAATACAGAAGGCGAAGTCTTCAGAGTCAAGTCCATGAAGTCCCACTCGCCGATTAGATACTGAAGTGGCATACGGGCACAACGTGCCTCACATAATCGCTCAAACTCTTCAAGTTGACTATTAGTAAATAACAAATCGTTGTAATCTTTAACCGTGTTCTGGGCAGATAAATAAATTCCGCACAATTACACAATATATTCTAAGAAAATTTAAGTAACTTACAAATTTTCGACCCAGTACATGTGCTACCAAGCATTTTATATTAAAATCAATATCACCAACATCCGCTTTCCGTAGTTTTTCGGGCCAACCTTCAAGAGCTTTGGTTACCATAATCGATGACGCCTGCTGTGGTTGTTGTTGTTGCTCCCGTGGCGGCGTGGAACTGCTGGTGGCACTAGCTGTTGCATTGATGTAATTGGCATAGCTGGCACGGGAAACCTGGCGCACTTGCTGGCGTAATTGTTGCGCCACCAGCCTAAACATCGTAGATAACTTTTAACGCCTTCTTCCTGTTACGAATTTCCAATTGAAATTTCAATACTGCTTCTTGCCAAGGTAAACCAAATATTGGCGGAAGTCAGCTGTGAGTAATTACTAATTGGATATCCGATATTCGGTATTCACTCAATATGGCGCGTTACAGTGTTGCTTCTTGATTTCCTCTTGCTTTTTTGTCGTCAGGAAGTTTTTTTATTTAAAACTTATTTTTTTTTATTTATAAAAATTACAATGCAAGGACCAAACATAAGTCTTTTGAAAAATTTAAAACTATTCTTGCAGTGTTTCTTTAGAGGAAAATTAAAAATCGAAACAAAATATTTTCTGGCACAAGACGAAGCAAAGGTATGTATATTTGTGAAGGGCATTTTTAATTTCATTCAAATAAATATGCATAAGGTTTAGAAAATCGGTATAACTATTTCAAAACAATCATAATTTACTTTTTAAACCACCAAGCATGCATTAGGGGCGCTTTAAAATGTCTAGAAGATTACTATAGCGTGTCCAATTGCCTGCTACATTGAGCTAGGCTCATTTCAGTATCTGCTGTACACAGAAATCACTTGCCTTCTGCTGTCATCGAAACATTAAAAAGTCAAAATTAAAATCAAACTATTCTTTATTACATAAATTGCTCAGTCGAGCTTAAATAAAAATCCATTACAAATTATGGAATGCTTTTTAATACCTTTACTACCCCCCAACAACTGCAGACATTTTACTAAGCGAGGTTCTAGCAGTGGAAATATTATTCGGTTATAGAAGTCTAACACTAGTAAACTATTTACTGTTCTTTGAAGTTAAAACGTCGTCCTTACTATCATGTGAGATAGTGATATTTCTACCAGGCGAAATGGCTGCGGCACTCTCAAATTTGGAACTGTCCAGCTCTGCCGGAGGAGCTTTATCGTCGATACATTCCGGTTTTATCTCATCCTCTTCTTCGGTTTCGGACTCGTATTTCTGCAAAGATAAGTGGTGAATAACAAGATTAGAGTTTTATTTTAGACCAGAACAAATTTTACATTTTACTTAGCGATAATTTCCATTAATCGGGAGTGCATTTTTTGGTTTTGAAATATGTACTTAAATTTGACTTGATTTTTAGAAATTTCATATATTTAATCATACAAGCAATAATTGAATTAATGAACAATTCATGATAATAATAATTGATTATCTTCAGCTCAGTCTTAAATTACCCTTTCTCCTGTTTTGAGCAGTTTAAGCAGTTGGAGCATATTTAGGGTAATCCTGTAAAACGAAGGAGAACATACAGTGATTGACAATGAAGCAAAATTAGGTTTTTACAAAACAAACCATACACATTTGTATACTGTCAAACAATGCACAAAATAAAACGTAAGCAAGGATAAAGAAACAACGCCTGTATTTTCATTTAAATAATAAATCCAATCAAGCCAAATTTACTAACTATATAAAACTATTATAATGAAGCAGTAAATTACTAACACTTTCAAAACAATATGCGACAACTAACACGAAGTTATTTATAAAGCTAGTAAAGCTAAATACTTATCATTCGAAACACACCTTCTGAATATATTGGCGACGCGTTGTCATGGTCAAATGCAAAATGCAAGTAGATGCATCGTCAAAGATGCACGGTATTGCCTCCTGGCAAACAACGCCACTTTTTTCCACCTCACAGGCACGGAAAAGTATCTGTTTTTTATCTTCCAAAATGTGCTTGCGACAAAATTTGCAACATGGCATTGCTCGTTCACCGCACTTCACACCACCTTCAGTAAAAATACATTTGTTAAAGCTGGGTAGCCTATACGCAGAGCCTTCGGTTGCGCGGGAACGTTTCTCTTTGAATTTCTTATACATCAGTGATTCAACGCCATACCGGCGATGGTACGTATTAAGTGCCTTAAGTTGATCATAAAGTTTACGCTCACTCGGTGAGTCTTTTAGCTGGTCGTGAATACTACCTGAAGTTTCGAAAAATGCAATTTAGACAATATAAAAAAATATAGGATTACTACTTACAAAGTATTTCACGTTCTTTGCGTAAGGCAAGTAAATAGCGCCGCCGGCGTTCTTTAAGTACCTGATGCAAATGGTTTATTTGGTCAATATAGAGACCCTGCAACTTGGTTAGCTTTGCTTCTGAGATACGTATAGCCTCTTCTCGTGTATAAATGCCGGCATGTCTACAAAAATTTATAAAAAATGAAAAAATGAATGAAAAAACAAGTAAGAAAGACTAAGTTCGGGCGGAGCCGAACATTAACCCGACGCAAGTATTAAATATATGTTTTCCACCTTTCCGAAAGCTACCGCTACATGATAAGCCGGGGTGTACGTTCCCACGACAGTCGGGTCTACGTAACCGGAACGACCCAGATTTATATCTGGCCAAGGACTGTCACTCCAGCAACACTCCCCAAAAAGTCTTTGGGGAGTTTGTATGCTGTTACAACAACAACAACAACAAGCCGGGGTGTATAAATATTAAGTAAATTAGCGTCCTTCAATTTCGAAATATTGAAATTTCAAACATTTCTGAAATTTACCGTTATATGAAAAGCGGCCGAAATTTTAGTCCGATTTCAACAATTTTCAACGGTTTGCTTTTATGTGGCAAGCACAATAACCATACCGAGTTTGGTACAAATTGCTAGAACGGTTAGCGAGATATATATATGTGATCATAAGTGGGCGGTGCCACGCCCATTTTCCAAAATTTTATCATAAACGTAAACGTCTTGGTAAAGAATTGTTGCAACCATCAATTTCGAATAAATTAGCTTTAATATTTAATGATTTGTCGAGGATTTCGTATTTCTCTAAATTACCGTTTTATGGAATGTGGGCGTGGTTATTGTCCGATTTTAAAAATTTTCGGCCGTTTGGTATGCTGTCCCAGGGCCAACAACTGCGCCAAGTTTGGAAGAAATCGGTGCAGCGGGTGTAACCATAAGTGGGCGTGGCTACGCCCGTTTTCCAAAAAATTTTAATATTCTTATTTTTCGTCTAACAGTCATTGTAAATATCAATTTTGAGTGAATTATCTTCGGTAGTTCCTAAAATATCGCAGTTTTCGTATTTCTGAAAGTTACCGTTATATGGGAGGTAGACGTGGTTATTGCCCATTTTCAATACCATCCGTCCTATGCCCAAAAGAAGTGCACTTACCAAGTTTCATTAAGATATCTCAATTTTTACTCGAGTTATCGTGTGCACAGACGGACGGACAGACAGTCACCGCTTAATCGATTTCTCTTTTCATTCTGATCATTTATGTATACATTTGTTTATATCTATCTCGATTCGTTTTGCCTGTTACAAACAACCGTTATGTGAACAAAGTTATAATACCCTTGTGCACAAGTGCGCTCGGGTATAAAAAAAATAGACGGAGGAAGAAATATATATGTATGTATGTAATTACAAGTCATCATCAACGCATAGCTCTAAATATTTTCGGAACTGTAGTTTTGGTAATACTTATTTCCTTAGTTAACTCTCCATATAGGGAGTGCTATCCTGAACTCAAAAGCCATATCTTAAAATATATGAGATATTGGCCCTTATTATGAGTTGCATTCGATTTTCGATCTTCGCTGGTTATCGAAGATCGAATGTGAAATTCGTATTATGAGCTATGCAACCGTGTGTCGAAATTTTCGTTGAGTATCGAATTTTCTGTCGAACAGAATTTTGCTTTCGATGGGGTAGCGAAGTGTTAGAAAATTGTGAAAAATGTATGATTTTGCATTCGTTTTCTTATTTCCTGGCGGGAAGACACTAATTTTAAACAATTTTTTATCAATTTCATGCAGTTTTAACGTCGTGAATACAAAACACAAGCTCGAAAGGCTGCTTCTACTTGTGCAGGAAAATCCCAATACTCAGTTGGCACGATCTCTGAGAACAAATCATAGAGCTGTGGCTAGTTTTAAAATATTTTAAATAGATTTGGCTCACAAACGCCTCTTTAGACAGTCGGAAGTTTTTAGTAAATCTGTAAACAAATTTCTTAAATATATTTTATGTCAAAATATATTGTAAAGACTACACTTAAACTCTCTTAAACATTTACTACTCCTGGTCAGTTCACTAAACTCTCATCCTTTGACTAATCCTGGAACCCCAGAACTTCGTTGTACTATTTTTTACAAACTTGCTTTCTTTTTTATTTCATATTAATTTGCACAAATTTACATAAATATGTATAAGCACACTATTTAGTTTGCTCGGTTTGTAAACAAAGCTTCTCAGCGGTGAAAAATATGCTATTGTGAACAACATAAACCAGCAAAGTTCACAATAGCGCTATTCTTCATCGAATGAGCGCCATAATACCAAATTCGTTCGATCAGCACTTTCGACCACAGTCGAAGATCGAATGTAACTCATAATAGGGGCCATATTAACATCTTTAGTACAGACCTCTACGCCATTATCTATGTAAATTTAAAAGCTTTTTTTCTTCTTATCAAACAATTTTAATTTGGCCAATAGGGCGTATGACATTGATCGTAACGAGCTGCAAATTTTAATACTTATTTTAGCATTCTTACTTGAGTACATCCTCATTTTGAGAATCAACGCTTTCATCGTCCGATTCCTGAAACTCAAATCCGCGAGCGGTGTTATTAATGCTGGGCGGGTCATCCACATCGCTTGAGCTGTCTGAAGCGTAATCCAAAATGCGTCGTTTTTTGTGCAGACCCGATAATGCAGTGTCAAGGCTATTTATTTGATCGTGTGCGACTGTAAGTAGATTTATTAGATCTATGTATTTTCGAATCAAACTTAATTCTTTATCTTCACTTACCAAATGGTGCGACATGCGGTGATACCACATCAATTTCCTCATCTTGATCATCATCCATCTGATCCCATTGATTAACCTCCACGTTAATATGATGGGCTAAGCTATTTAATAGTGCTTCATTTGTATCTGTACGCTTTAATTTGCCTACAGAAGCATGCGTTTTCTGAAGTTGTGCTTGACGATTATGCTCAAAACAAAGTGTTGTCATGGCTGGATCTTTTTTAAGATCATGCTTCTGTAAAGCATTTGTACATTTACGCCCATTCGGATAGATGTAGGTGCACTGCCGGAAATTTCCACGGGGATCACGCAAAATATGACGCATACAATATTCATGGCCATCAACTCTCGGTAGTGAACATTCATAAGTGGGATTAGAGCAACTTTTTGCTTTGTTTTCAATTTCCTGATGCAATTGTTCACGTAGTTCTTGCAGGCTGCCGCCATAACGCAAAAATTGGCGCTGACGCATATGTGAACAACTGGCTGCCATTACAACAATCGAGATATTATATTGAATTATTATTGAGCTCTTGCTGTACACTCTGTAGGTTTTATTAAAACGTTGTATTTTAATATCGTCTGCTAACGTTTACAAATTGCGAAATTGAAAATACATACATAGGTATGTGAAAAGCATTTACATATCGAAAATAGTCGATTTTTCTTAGTCGCCATATCGATTTTGCCTATAGTGTCTATACACCCAGTCTACACCTGACATTTGTTGGAAGTATGGGAAATTGAGGAAGCGAGCAGGAATGATAGAAGAGAAGATTGAGCGTTGAGCTTTGCTGGGACGTCATGAAGGAAACAGGGCGAACAGCAGACAAAGAAAAATTAGCAAAATGAAATACAAATGATAAACGAAATTGCGAACATTCACGTAAAATTGTGAAATAAAAAATATTTGTTAGTTTATTATGAGAAATATTAGAAGAAAAAAGTTAAGTAAATGTGCCAGGCATATATGTGACGAAAAGCAACCCAAAGTTGCCTAATTAGAAAAACGGTTTACAAAAATATCTTAATAAAATCGAAGTGATTTTGTGTTTTCTATTATAAATTTTATTGCTATTAAGATTTTTTATTTTATTTTATTTTATTATATATTACTGCATATCAAAAGTTAATTAAAAAATAATAAAAACTAGTCATTGAAACTCGCCACCGCGTAGACGCAAGTGAACCGCTGCGACGAATCGCAACATTTTGTGTATATAGGGCGCTGCAAAGCCGTTCCCGGAATGTTTCTTTATTATTGTATTGACAGCATTTCATCACAATGATTTCGTTTCTGCTCCAAGCAGCCTCCTTTAGCAAGTTAATTAATCAATCCAGCTGAGATGCTGCGGCAGTTTGCCGCAGCAGCCTTAATTGCAAAGCAATGGAGTGCACTAAAACGTTTGCTGCAATAGCCTCAATTGCAAAGCTATGGAGTGCAGTAAAAAGTTCTCTCTATTCTCTAATATATTAGATGAAAAATGCAATATTTTCGCATTTAGCAAAATTAAAACACGGTTTTCGCTGTAAACTGAACTGTTTTGGCAGTCTCAACTCGTTCGTATTTTCGCTCTATTCTTTGTTTACTTGTGGTACACAAATGTCAACAGCCAGGACGGCGCAATCTTGTACTATATCATTCTTGGTATAAGCTCTGATATATATTGCTCTTGAAGAGCAATGCGCTGTCTCCATTGGGCAATTTATATTCCAACAAATGTATCAGGTATACAGCTATACAGTTCAATGCGGGCATGAACGTGAACTATATAGTTTGACTAATAACTTCGTTATTACTTCACCTCTTGCAATAGTTAATATATCAAAAGATAGAGAATTAAAATATCTTTCAGAATTCTAGAATTAAAAGGAATTTCCACTGTATAATATCCATATTTTACAAGCTCACACTCAATTGTGTGCGTATGCAAAACAATCGCATGTGAACCACAAGTTTTGACAGATATATGTGAGCGTGCATAAATACAAATGGAATTATTTGCCTTTGTGAACGTTCACACTCACGCTCGCATTGAACTGTGTAGCGAACTTAAACTTTATACTGTGGAGACAGGCAATTAAATGAAGCAATTTTTTGACAAGCGATAATCGCCTGCAAGCGATTTTGAATACCATTTACACGAGCGATTATTCTTGAGCAATGATGAATCGCCTCATGTAAGGCCAGCTTAAAGAGCCAAAGCGGCACACAAGCTGTTTGCCAAATATGGCGAAATTTCCTTTTGCTTCAAGGCACTTGTATTGTGTATGGGGGTCTTGGAAGGTTTGACAACCCGCTTATGGGAAATATGAACAAAAATCAAAGTTTTTTTAATTTTCTGGCCACTATGTGGGCGTTAGATCAAACCGCTTGCGTTGTGTGTGATAAAATCGCCTCATTCGCGACGGAATTTTTCCCCTAGTGAGGACGTACGAGAGAAAGAAATGAAAGAAAATCAAATTTTTTTTACATTGTGAATGATTCACGATTTCTGCACATTGGTCGTCCAATCATAGTTGCTTCATCGTCACAATTATGATGCAACGATTACATGACGACTACACTTTCGCACACTTGGGTCAAACGATCATCTGTAGTGTGTTTGACAACCAAATTGTAAACAAAAAAAAAAATTGCACTCTGATAATGCGTGTTGAAAAGTATTTAATTATTTGTTTCAGGGATTCTTATGAATTTGAAAGTATTTTCGGTTATTTACATGTGTGAGCTGAGTGTGTACACATACAAAATAATCAAAAATTCGCAACCAAAATCTTGAGGTTATGTTGAAGTTGTCAGAAGTTACCATTTTTTACTAGAAAGCAATCCCGTAATTTTCAGTGTAACTCTCTCGTTCTGAGTGAAATTTAATTTTTTGACAGTTTTACTAGTTTTAGTCCGAGGAACACAGGATTGGACCTAGTGTTTGGCGAAATGGGAAAGGTGTGTTCTTAATTAGCCAAATAAACCACAACAGCGGTTTGTCAAACATGATGAAATTTACCTTTACATAGTTCAAACTTGTTGTGTAGTGTATTGGGCGGTTTCAACGTTTGACAAACCGCTTGGAGGATATTCGAAGAAAAATCAAAATTTTTAGATTTTCTGGCCGCCATGTTGCGGTTTGGATCAACCGTTTGTACGATATATGGCAGAATAGCCTCATTTGCAGCAAGATTTTAATCGAGTGCGGTCATATGAGAGAAAAATGGAAGAATACCAACTTTTTACATTGTGAGCCGGGAGAAAACGAAAATTCTCTGTGTGAACTAGTGATGATTGTATGGTATATGGCGATATGAAAAAATAAGGTCTGAAGTAAGTGTAAATGGCGCTTAATTTGTAAGTTTCTGCTAATTTTCTGTTCTCATACTATTCTGGATATTTTATCTTTTGAGAGAACGGATGACATTTCACCGGAATTTCGCTGCTTGATATTTTTACTAGAGATTTTAAACGAACGTACCTTATACCTTGGTAATGAGCCGTATTTTTGAATTTGAAGGAAAAGGATTAGAAATAGAAAGAAAGTTCAACACAGGATTTTAATATTTATTTTCATTTTCATATTTTTATTTATACCACTCCGTTTAATTTCATCTTCAGAATTCTACCTTAACACATTTCATTACACTTTAGCATTCGTTTTCATAAATCTATAATCATAATACATAATACTTAACGCGATGCAACATTTTATTCGTTTTTTTTTAATCTTTCTTGTTATTACAAATCTAAATAGTTGTATAGACTTTATAAAAAGGGAAATGTAGTTTTTTGACAATTTGTTTTTGGAAATAAATAATTATGAAAATACCATATATGCATGCATGTAAGGTGAAGAGATCACCGGCGAGGAAAAATTAATTAATATTTTTTATATGAATTTTATTTGAAACTTAACTATTTTATTTGCCGCTTAGTTTCTGTGAAAGGGGTGCACCTAGCTGTCATGGTAAATTTAGAATTGATATTAATATACAACGGAAATTACAGAAATTTTAGTGATATCTGAGGCGAACATTGAATTGCCAGGCATTCATGTTTTAGTTGAAGGATACAGGCCAATATACAACATTTACAGTGGCGGACAAAAAAGAACTGCTAAAGGCAGCGTCACACGATTGGTACATTTGTACAGATTTGTTCCTTTTTTGTATTGGTAATAGCCCAAAAAAAATTGGGATGAGAATTTTTTTTGGATTGGTACAATACAGCGAACTTATATTGAAAAATTTTAACAAATAGTTTTTCTTGATTGGCATAAAGAAAAATAATTGTGTATTCACACGATTGGGATACGATTTGCACCAAGTTTGACATTGCCTTAACAGCAGTGAGTACAACCAAATATGGTTAAAAATGCATATGAAATATTGGTTGGACGCAGGATAAGTGATAAAATATTTATTTGATTTGATAAGTCATTTTAAACTTATGCACAGCGTCCATTAATTATGGAAACGAGTTTTCTTCAAAACAATAAAAATGTGTATGTAAATAAATATTTATAATGTTATGGATTTTAATTTTCAGTATTCAGTGCTATCACTGAATCCGTCGTAGCTCGATTTTTCGTGAAATCTACGAAAATTCTATCACTGAATTCGAATAACTACGAACGTAGCGTATACTTTGAATACACATGTTCGTCGTGATTCGGATTCAGTGGAAGTATTTTCGTAGATTTCACGACAAATCGGACTACGATGGATTCTGTGATAGCAGAATTTTTATCAATACTTTACAACTCTTCTAATATGATCTCTATGTGATTATTTTATATACGATAAAATGGCTTTAAATGTTACAAATTTTAATTATATATTTTTTTGTGCTACATAATTTATACATGGGCTTATATTTTAAAATGGCTGTCATAACATATTGTTTTTTATATTAAGCTGCAATTATAAGTTTCTTATTTGTATTGATTAATGTATTTAAGTGCTATATATTCTATTTCAATTATTAAATACTAAAGCGTTATTGCACTTAAACTTGACTTATTAACTAATCTTCACTTAAATTTACAGCTTATAACTAAGCTACATTACATAGTATCGCTATAACATACTTATTCTATATGCCTCATATTTAATAATTTTATATAAGTACATTTATTACGCTTTATTTTTTTGTTAAATACTTTGTCAAATCCTACTTATACAACACTTTAACTACATACATATGTAATTATACATCATACTTATATACGCGCTTGTATGAGTAGAGTTAGCCTAAATATTTTAAACTTAACTTACTTTCTAGTATTTCAACGCTCAGACTTAAACTTTTGCTGTTGATATATGTATGTTTTGTATTCATTTATTTAATAAACCAATTATATACTACATATGCATGAATAAAAATTAATCTTTTGTTCGCTCCGTAACACTTGCTGGCATTGTCAGTGTTGTTTCTTTTAAATTCTTTATATATATATATTTTTTTTTGAAACACTAAACTGAAGTTACGTACCATAATAAATATCTGTTTTGAAGACACCACCCTACTTATAATATTTTTATTTATATTTACGAGCAATGTGCTTTATACATTTACTACAATAACTTTCATAAATCTATAATTCTTATTTTCAAAATACGCGAAACTTCCATACGACTTTTCATCATCGCAATCAATTTCCAAATTCCACTCCGGGCCTTCGTTAGTTAATTTCCATTGTACGGACTACCATTCGCTAAATATTACTTTTTGTTTTCCTTTGTTTTTGACATTCTAGTTTATAGCAATATTTTACAATTTCTCATTTTTATTTATAGATTTCTTATATTAATTAAACCCTATTTGCAGTTTCACTCCGATTTTCTTAACTTTACATATTCCAGGCATTCATTATCTCAAACACTCTGCAATCAATTATGTATATTTAACTATGCAATTACGTGTATAATCGCATAAAATTAAGACGAATATTTATTATATGTTTTTTAAAATTTTTTTAAATTTTACCATAAAATATCAGAATACGCAAACTCAAAAATCGTTATTTTAAGGCGAATTTATATAAGGTGGTGTCTAGTAGACAAGGAGAATTTATACAAGGTGATGTTCGCAGAACAAAAACAAAAATTAAAAAAAAAAACAAATTATACGTTCATTGACAATCAGTACAAAACAAAATTACAATAAATACATAATTTTGACAAAAGGTAAAAATTCGCCATGAAATCAGCGGCTCCGGTAACATCACTTTGTATAGATTCGCCTTGGCTACTAGATCAGCTGATTTTGTGTGTATGTTTCGCCTTACCGCTAAGAATGCCAAAATTGAAATATTTTGTTCAGATTTATGCACACACTCTTACAGATTTTGGCAGCTCACGCCGCAAAAACAAAATATATGTAAATTTGTTGTTTGTTCTCACCTTACATGAATACACCTTCGATCCTAAAGCGAAGTGCACATTAGCAACACAAAAACTTGACCGAACGCCGTATTAACAAGTACGGTGTAAAGATCCCTATTGAAATCGTGTTGCGCAACCGTTTCCTAAATTTCAAAACATATTAGAGGTCTCCACAGTAATTTCGGTAGTTAAAGACCTGTCTCCACCGGAACACACTGATGTTGTTATAACCACGTAAAAAATATATTGCCAATCGAGCCCGCTTATTGGCAGAGCTTATTGCTTGGTATATATTGCAGGTAATCTGGTAGTTTGATAATCATATTTTCATTTGAAAGAAAGAAATTATTTATAATTACGTTTTAGGAAACTATTCAGCAAGTTTTAGAGGATTTAAATGTTTTAAAAAATTAAAATAGAGAGAATGTTCTCTGGTGGCGTCATGTGACAAATGCTTATATCACGACATAAAAACGATGTTTGCCTGTGTAGTTCTGACGTTAGGTAAACTGCTAGTGATTGTCCTTTTCAACTTACTTTTGCATGACTGTTAAATTGTGTTTATCAACAGCTGATTTGTAGCATTTTCTTATAAAAAAATAAGTTGTAACAGAAAATTTAATGAATTTTACTTAGCCCTATGCTTTAAAATTTAATAAATACCGAACAGTTGATTGCAATTTACCCACTACCAGAAAACTTATTAAGCCCGACTCCACGATAATTCGATAATCGACAAACCGACAACAAAATAATTTTACACAAACAAAATACTTGACGAAAAACTACTGAGTACCGAGTAACGAAGTACCAAGGTCGGTGTGAAGACCCCTATTAATATTTATGTTGCTTGTCGCAATCGTTGCCCTGTGTGTAGTCTGCATAAGTTTCTTTCATCCATTAGGCTGCATTTATATGGGTTGGTTTTCAAGGTGATTCAACATTGCTCAACGAAAATCACTCGTGTAAATGGCGAATTAAAAATCGGTTGCGTCAAAGTAGATTATCGCCTCATGTAAATGCATATTTATGCTACTCTAGTTAAAAAATTGAAGTTATTTTAAAACATCGTCCATTATAATTAAAAAATGCTTAAAATAATAAAATTATGAGACAAAAAGACATTTGTGCAAAAAAAAAATCAAACACAAAATTTCCATTAAAATGGGTTCATTTTATTTGAAAAGTTATAGGTAATATTTTTTTTTACAGAACCATAGGTATATGTACATTAACTTAAAATATAAAAAAAATATTTAACTTAAATTTTCTTAATATAGAACTTAAAATTATTAAGGCAAAGTATTGCTTAAGAACATTAAGGACGTCGTATTGAATGTTTTATTATGCCGAAATTCACTGAACATTAAATAACCAAAAAATTTAATGACGAATTAGGTCATAAAAAATGTTGCCGGTGCGTTAAAATAAAAGCCATTAAACATGTGGAAACATACCATTTTTTAATAATAAAAAACGGTTGGCTATTTTCGTAATTTCAATGGCTAGTAAAGATTCGGCCGTTAGAAACAAATTGGGCAAGCTTTGTAAAAAAGTATTAAAGCAAAAATCAAAATTTTTTTGGTTAAATCAATGAGGAAAACATAATGCTTCTTGACTTTTACCATAGAGTTAAATTTACAAAAACTAAACTATACTTAGAATGTCTTTAAGAAAAAATTTGTATTAAAAAGACTTGAAAAGACTTGTTTTTAGCAAAAATACTCTGACCAAAAAAAATTTTATTAAATAAGATTCAAGATTCATACAAAAATACCCCAAGAAAATTAAATGACAGCTTATATGTACATTACTTTCAGTAAAATTTAGAAAATAGTAAATTAACATGCCGCTGTTTTGTTGAAAGATATTTTTTTAAAACTTATTATTATTCTCTAGGAAAAATTCTTTAAGTGTTCTTCATGATCCATGTAATAAATTAAAAATTATTATAAAAAAAAAATATTTTTTTTTTATATATTTTTGTGTGGTTAATCTATAAAATGCCGCTAATTATAATTTCACTTATGCCGGATTTCAACTGGGCATTAAATGACTACAAATTTGAATGATATTAAATAAAAAATAAAAATCATCTATGCTGAACTTCCCTTTGGCAACAAAATGGCGAAACATTTTTTACCATGGCATAACTGGTATTTAGAAACAGACTTTTATTTTTCGCGTAATTTTAACGAAACGTTTTTGTAATGGACAAATTTGTCATAGTTTTTTTTTTGTCTTTTAATGTCCGGTGGAAATCCGACATAAGTCTGTTTACATGCCTTTTGCTTAATGATATAAACTTTTTCTTCATTTTTGTCATTCAATATCTGTGAAAATTCGACATTATGCTGAACTTCCACTAGGCATTGAAATGAGAAAAATTTGTGCCATTTAAAAAATGCCATGTGGAAATAAACTTTATGACTGACAAAATATTCTTTAATGCAAAACTTTCTCGTAACAATTTCTGTAATTTAATGCCAAGTGGAAATCGAGCATTACACAAAATTGCTATCACTTTATATAATAAAAATTGTGTAACGCAAAAAAGTATATTTATTAAAAATAATGCCATCTTTAGTATGTGTGTACAAAGAACCAAAAATAAAAGTTAATAACTCAAAATTGCTAAAACAAACTAGTTCCTTCTAGTTACTGCTACAACTCACTATTATTTATTGCATTTTTTTTTGTTTGTTAAAGATATTCTAGTTAATTTTCTATTTCCTTTTGTTTTTATTTCTACTCTTGTATTCTCTCTACCTTTACAAAATCTTATCGGTTTCATTTCAAGTCCTTACAAAGTGATTGTAGCGGAAGAGCTGCCTGGTCGTTGTTTGTTGTTTGTTTTTTTTTTTTTTGTAATTTATTGATGAATTATGAGTTTGGATTGGTTGTTGGGTGAATATAGAGGGTGCCATATTTGTTCGTTTATGTTTTTATGGAGTTTGGTAGTCAGAAAATATAATTTTATATTAAAAAAAATGGTGACTTAAACTTCAAAAATTATTTCAAAATAGATTAGTTAAAATGTGAAAATTTTTGCATCTATTTTAATTTTACTTTCACACAAATTTGTAAAAGATATTCAACTTTTTAATCTTATAAAAAATAATGCACTGCTAATATTTATAAATAAACTTACTGACTTTTGTTATGAGATTCAAAAGGTTAAAAATAATGTTAATTGCTGCCATAGTTATTTAATTGCCTTTAATTAATTTTTTTTAAATTAATTTGTGTTAGTTTTTAGGTAAAAAAAATGCTTAAAAAAAGCATAAAACAATATTTTTAATTGCTTTGTAAGTACATGGTAAAACTAAATTAACTTATAGCACACAATGATCGCTAGTTTAAATTTGCAATTCGCTTGAATTTCAGAAAATTAGGAATTGAGAAATTTTTTTTTAGAAATTTTTTTTTTTACACAAAAATTTCCGCCCAATACTAAAAGCACGCACAATAAAAAAAAAAAATCAAACACTTTTTCTCTTGTGTAAAATTACTCAGCATAAAAATACATGATATATTTTCTGAAAAAAAACCGAACCTTTTTGTCATAATTGTACATTTAAAATTTCACCTACCTTAGTTTGATTGCTATGATATTTTTTTGCATACATGCATTTTGACTTTTACTATACTCATTTTCACAAAAAAATACAAAATAAAATTAAGCATTTAGTATAGTTCGAATTGTAATTATTTCAAGTTGCATATTTAACTATTTGTACAGCTAATGCATTGAATTAATTATTTAGTAAATGTTACTGATTAATTTAATCAATTTAATGCATAACAGTCTTTTTAGTTCACAAACAACTTAAAAGACAAATGTGGCTGTGTTTAGTAGTCAGCCATTAGCTGACTAACTGATCCCAAGTTTTCCAAATAACCCAATGGTTTTGAGTTTACATACGAATTAACACGCACTACAGCTGCTTGAATTTTAACAATAATTTTTACTTAACTTAGCATGATTACCATTCAACAACTACATACATAAGTAACTTAAAGCTAAGCATACAATTAAGCGTCTAAATAATAAATACGACTACATTCATACTTATGTAGTATTTCGTAAATTATTTATTCTTTTCCGCTAACACTCTTTGTGCTTAAAAACTAAGCAATTTAACTTAGCATTTAATGAATACAATAGCGATACGTTTTGTTCTCTTTTTTTGTTGTTTGATGCTCAATGATTTTGATAAATCATTTTTAATACAGTTGAAATAATTGCGAAGTAGCCGGGTAGATGGAGCTCTTAGCTCTCCTTGGTTAAAGTGTGCTTAGTTGCATATCTGTGGCAGCTTTTTAGGCATTTCGGCAAACGAAAATAACGCTTTCACACTCAGGATGAGATGTACGTATTCAGCAGTTTTTCAAACTAAAATTGACTTTAGATTTGTGGGATTTTGATTTTTCTTTAGCATAATAGTATATTTTGTGGCGCATTGAACATATACATATGTATGTGTGGATGAGCTAAATAAGCTGGTTAACAAATTAATTGGTGTAGTTGTCGAAGGAGCCGAGATACTCGAGCGCGGCGCGATAACAGAAGTGATATTGGTCCTGGAATTGAAGAAATACTATGATTAGTAAAGTATTCATTTTTGTATATTTTAAAACCTTAACTAAATACACTGAAAAGAGCGTCAAAACAAATTAAATACAATGTAGAATGCGAGCAATCTTAACTTGCACTTTCTGAGTTAACTGGGCCAAATCTGAATAGATCCATCCCATCTGCTAGTTTATGATCTCCTGATACCTTTACTTCTGCTATCTGGGATATTTGTGCGGGAAAAACAAGGTCGCAGAGCTTCATTATAAATCCTCGAAATCTCAACCAATAAAAAAAATTAGTGTCAATTGAAAAACATTTTGCTACAATGGCACTTTAGGTAAAGGTTTTTCTGAAATAGTAGACTTGCTATTAGGTGCCCAGCTTCTCCCTAGGTAGCACCCGCTAAGCGATGCTCTTTCATACCCATACCGGCGCAACCGTTCCGCATTTGGCTTAACAACTCGATTTCTATGTCGGACGGACGGCACACTTTTCGCTGGTTTATGGTCGCCTGGGTAGAAATTGGTAATTTTTCTGGCACGAAATTGGGTATATCTGGCGAAGTTCCAACCCGATTTTCAGGATCGAGGTGTCAAATGAAAGTGCACCCTATAGCGGTGGGAACATTAAAGTATGTATGTAAGGAGTGTAGATTTGCGCTTTCTGAGATATCTGAGCTGCGAGGACCTACTTTTTCACAGACACTTCGCGATAACTCTTCCAAATCTGAATATATTTCACGTAGGTGGTGTTAAGTGAAACTTTTTTTGGTTAAAGGGCAAAAAATCCTAAATAAGTCTTCGAGTTTTTGTTGTTGCTCATTTTTATGAACTTCTTTTAGATTTTAAATTTCGGGTAATTTTTTTAAATTTGGAATGTTTCATTTAAATTTTCATAAAACATCTTGCCTATAGCTTTTTTTTTTTTAATTTTAGGCTATTTGTTTCGGTCTATTTTATTTTGTTTTATTTATTCTGTTATTTTTATTTTGATTCATTTGGTTTTATTCAATTTAATGTAATATAATTTAATGTATTTTTTTATTTTTTCTTAATTTCATTTGTTTCATTTTATTTTATTTAATTTTACTTTGTTTTAATTTATTTTGTTAAATTAAAGTTTTTATTTGTATTTTTTTAGTTTATTTTATTTTACTTTTATTTTTATCTTTATCTTTATCTTTATCTTTATCTTTATCTTTATCTTTATCTTTATCTTTATCTTTATCTTTATCTTTATCTTTATCTNTTTATTTTTATTTTTATTTTTATTTTTATTTTTATTTTTATTTTTATTTTTGTTTTTATGTGCCTTTAATTTTTTGCAGTTGTATTTTATTTTATTCTATTTTGTTTTAATTAATTAATTTTTTTTTAAATTTTATTTCGGGTAAAATTTTGAAATTTGAAATGTTTTTTTAGCTTTATTAAAACATCTTTTCGTTGTCTTTTTTAGGCGATTCTTTTCTATACTTTTCTGATCTTTTTTATTTTATTTTGCTTTATTTTACTTTGTTTTATTTTATTTTTTATTTTTTATTTAATCTATTTTATTGTTATTTTATCATTTTATTTTAATTAGTTTATTTTAATTTAATTTAAGTAAATTTTATTTTTATTCATTAAATTTTTTATTTGTATTTAATTAATTTTATGTTTATTTGTATTTATTTTTGTAGTTATATTCTCTTTTATTTTGTTTTGCTTTACTTTATTTTATTTCGGGTAAAAGTTTTTAGCTTTTGAGTTTTCTTTTTTAGTGTTATTAAAACATCTTAAATTTTTTTATTTTATGCTCTTCTTTTCTAGTATATTGTACTCTATTTAATTTTATTATTTAATTTATTTTTTTTAATTTTATAATGACTTACCTTATTTTCGTAGGTTTTTTTTTAATTTTGTTGTGCTTTGTTTTATTGTGTTATTATATTAATTGAACCGAATTTGAATTATATTTATTTTCGTTTTATTACATTTTTTGTTTATTTATTTTTTATTCTATTTTATTTGACTTTACTTTATTTAATTAATTTTTTTAATCGTTATTTTGATATTGTTTTGTTTTGTCTTATTTTATTTAGTTTTAATTGATTTGATTTGATTTAATTTTTTTGATTTATTGATTGATTTATATAATTCTTTTTTAATTCTTACTTTGTTTTGTTTTATTTTATTTTATTTTGCTTTATTTTATTTTACTTAAATAAAAAAATTCCATTTAAATTTTTGTAGCTCAACTTTTTTACAACACGTTTTCACCACTCAACCATGCTCACCTCTGTTTGCACCATAGCTGGCCGTTGAGCTCGTAGTATGCGTACGGTTTGGAACACATCCAATACACCTTCATATTGCATACGCTCCAGTACAATGCTGAGTGTTATAAAGACGCCAGTACGACCCACACCGGCACTACAATGTACCGTAATCGGTCCATCTTGACCGAACTGTTCTTTTGTCTTATGCACTTGACCGATGAAATCAATAAAGCCTTCTCCAGACTTAGGTACACCTTGTTCGGGCCAGTCGATAAATTGAAATTGTCGAACTGTACGCGAGGAGCCATCACGTGCGTCGGTCACCTAAAGAAGAAAAGATATTCGGACAGAATATGTTGGGGACATTTTAGACATATATGTATGTATGTAGATAAAAGTTCCAGAATAATTTAAGTCGAGCTTAAGAATCTTCGACTTACCTTGAACTCCCGAAGTTTATATTGTGGCATATTGTATTCGGCAATCGGATCCACCACATAATACTGATAGCGTACAGAACGTTCGTGTGGCCAGTACTGGTAGCATTTTTCCTGCAGGCAATTTTGAAAAAGAATTAGATTTAAAATGACATTTAAAGAACTTGCTCGGCTCTCAATTAATCTCCACCCGTACACCCCAAATGTATTTACTTGCAAATTTCAAAATTTCCAACTTACTCTTCCCATCTCTTTGAGCTTGGTCAGCATGACGACAATCGTTGAATTGTGTTCCCACAGCATTCGCCAGAAGTCTTCGGCTGTATCCTGTACTGGGCCCTGAGCGGCTATGTAAGCCGACCGATAGCGATAGCCATCAATAAAGCTTGCATTGATGTAGTCGCTACCCTCGATGCCGTGTATGGGTGTTAGATAGACACGACTCGATTCGTAGGGTAGTATGTGCACCAAGCGGTTCTTATTCTTGTTGCATGGCAAATTGGCGGTGACGAATTTCGACGAGTCCACTTTAACATTCGAAAGCTTTTTGAATTCCATTTCCATGCCAGTTATATTCTCACCCGGCTCGGTTACCAACAACTTTTGTAGGTGGGTGTGCAAGTTACGTGCTGGTACCTCTGTGTGACCGCAAATAATTGCCTCCAGGATGGCATCATGTATGAAAATGTATTGATCCTCGGTTTGCACCATGTAGTTGCGTTGTGCGCGTAAACAAGTCACATGCCCGTATATGTCAATGATCTTTTCGTGTTTCATGCGTTCCAACATCGAATCGATAACAATGTAACAACCTGTACGTCCAACACCAGCCGAGCAGTGCACCACAACGGGACCAGAGTCGGGTGGTGTGAGTGCGCGACAGCGACGTAAGAACTGTAGGAAAGGTGCTGGATGTTCGGGTACACCATGGTCAGGCCAGGCGGTGAATTGTAGTTGCTTGATTTCGCGGCGCTCATTGAAGCCCTGACGACAAATCTGGAAGGTACGTATGCTATAGGTTGCCAACTCTTGGGTCTCTGTGATGGTGACAAACATTTGGCCGTAGGTTTCAGTGCCACGCACCGGCCAATATTGGTCACATTTGATGCGTGTGCGTTCCTCCAGGCGTGTCATCATAACGATAGTAGTCGTCTTTAGCTCCCAACACATACGCCAAAAGTCATTGAATGTCTCCTGCAGCGGTCCCTGAGTTGCCACATAAGCATTGTGTTTTCGATAGCCATCGCAGTAGTTGGCATTAATGTAGTCCGAACCGACGATGCCGTCCATCAGCGGCAATTGTACGCGCGAGTGGTCGTAGGCGGTTACGTTGGCATAGCGATTTTTCGATTTATTGTAATCATAGTTGGAGTTATCCCATGTGAACTGCTGGCCGGGCTCAATGCTCTCATATTCTTGCGAAAATTTCTGATTGTCATTCGCTTTGAGGCGTTCGATATGATTGGCAAATTCGGAAATTGGAATGGGCGGATGGGAAATCATGCCAGGTGTTTGGAAGTTTAAGCGACGCATATCGACAGGATCACTTGGCGTGGGTCCGGCACCGAGGTCAGCGGCCATCAGTGGACGCGTGACGGCTGCCTGATCGGGTGTTTTGCATGGTTGACGACGACGTCGCACAATGCACCAGGTGATGAATATGGTGAAGATGAGCGCGGCAGCTACTGGCAGTGCCACCCACCACATGCCTTGTTCGTCCTTATTGCGATTGACAGAGACCTCTGGTTCGGAGGGCCAATTCGGATCGGGTCGGTGTGGACGTTCGCCGGGCGGCGCTTCACGCATATCCAACGATAGGAACTCAGAGAACGGGCTGGATGTGTACAAATGTTTTTGCGGTGTATCGACAACAGCGCGCACAAAAATTCGATAACGCTTGTCGCGCTCAAGCTTGCGGTTTGTAAAGTTGTGATAATCGTCACCAGAGCCCAGATGGAAGGTGAATGGAATGGAGCGTTGAGGAAATTTGGCAGCGATATAAGGCGAATTCGGTCGCTCAGGCTTGTTGCGTCCCGGCAGCAAATCTTCAGTTAAAAACTGATCGGGATTCTTGTGCAAATTCGACTTATCCTCAGGCACCACAACCAGATAGTAATGTGAAATTGGACCATACTCCTCGGAAGCTTGAGGCAGAATAACCAATATTTCTTCACCGTTCACCACACCATAGAAATCGGGCTTCACCATCGGCTGCGGCGCCGCCATTTGTGTGGTAACGGTTATCTTAGTAGGCGGGCGGTAAGAGTAGTCTGACGGTATGGCGCTCACATTCACATTGTAGGTGGTGAAGGGACTCAATTCATTGATCGTATGCGACTTCACATAATGCTTCAGTATTATATCACGTTTTTGCACAATTTGCGTTTGCGTGAAGCCTTGTGAATCCACGAATACTTTCATGGCATCAAACGAAATCTTGTAGTTGATCGGATTGAGTCGTATGGGCGGTGACCAACTGAGTGTCATTGAATGTGTGCTGACATCGTGTGCGCGCAAATTCAGCGGTACATCCTCCGGCTTTATTTTGACTGTGACCTTTTCACTCAGCCGCCCTAGACCGTTCTTGAACCGCGCTGCTATCGCCACGGCATATTGCGCAAACTTTTCAAGATTCACTAGATCCGCTGACTCTGTCAGCCCTACAGTCTTTGTTTGCCATTCATCCAGATCTTCAACCGCCGTCATGGTGTAGAAAATTTTGTAGCCAAGCAGCTTGCCACGCGATGGCACCGGTTCCCACCATATCTCAGCTGTTTGCTCAGATGTTGCCACCGCTTGCACTGACATGGGCGCACGTCCCATATCACGCTCGGTTTCGACAAAGATCTTTTCACTAAATGGACCAGCGCCCTGCTTGGTGTAAGCGCGTACGCGGAAGATATACTCTGTGTTCTCCTCCAGATTTGTAAACACCGCTTTGCGCACCGTTGTATTTCGCTCCGAACCTAAACCATGATCGATTTTCTTATGGAATTGCACATCGTAACGTGTAATGATGCCATTGCGGTGCTCACGAGTGGGCGGATCCCATGTAACGCACACTACATCTGGCGTTTGGAAGCGCACTGTTATATTTGCCGGCGGTCCACCTGGTGTGCCCTCGGGAGTTTGGAAGATTTTCACTGTCTCTTGACCGATGCCGATGTGATTGCTACCCGCCACGCGGAACTCGTATTCAACACCACGCTCCAAATCATTGAAGCGACGTTTTGTAATCTGTGGGCCGGGTAGCATTTCCTCTTTCAGCGGTTGATCTTTAACGCCCCAGCGGAGACGATAGCCACGCAGTTCACCATAAGTTTGCGCCGGACGTTCCCACTCGAGTTCGATGGATACAATTGGATCGCGTTCCATTATCTTTAGGCTGACTGTGGGTCGCACAGGCACACCGCCTGGCGTTTTTACGATCACGGCAGCGCTGCGATCACCATCACCCTTACGCGTGAGTGCGGCCACTTGTATGGAGTATTTTGTGTCAGGTTGCAGGCCAGTTACATTGTACTCCAGCGTATCGACAACGTCGAACTTAAGCGGTTCGTTCAGGAAGCCCTTGCCCTAAAGGAGGAGAGAAATACATTGTTGAAAAATTTCATGATATAAAAATTGCAGACAAAATTAGACAGGCAGTGAAGTTTTTCATAATGAGAGATTGCTGTAAGAACGGCGAAAGCTAAACAAACCTCAAATGGTCTTTCGAAAAAAGCCGATACCGGACAGGTAGATGGAAAGATTATAAGCTACCAGAATTGCGCTTGCTGACTGAGTTTTAGCCGCTGTAATTTTAAAATTCATGCGATAATTGACGAAGCCTAATAAGAAAATGCTGTCATTTACAAAACTTATCTAACGCTTCTGACTCTGGGCTTCTTAATAGATTAGAAGGTTATTATACCTCTTATTAAACAAGGTGAAACCAGTCAAAAGTAGCGATAACAGGGTTCATGAAGTGCAAGTCATAAAAGGAGATTATAGAGAATGACAACCTTGTGTCCGACTCACATTCATAAGGCTCAATAAGTTGGTTGGCGGTGGGACCCAGCCTTAAGAGACTACTCCCGTGGGAGTTGCCACCTATGAGAGGGATGCCTTTGTTGTGGATCGGACAGAGTACGCTTTGCGAATATCAAGAAATACTAGTCTCAGTTACGCCCTATAATTTGGTATACACGAAGGCTCAAAAATGCCTCACAGCATTCGAGTTGGAGCCTTTGTCAAAGAACAAAGATCTAAGTTTGGGTAGACTTCTTAGTATATTAGAAGCCGAGGTCCAGGCCATGAGGTACCGCACCCTTCTTTCCAACGAAATAAATTCTTCATTGGTTCTTGAGTTACTAAACGGCTTAGCGGCAATCAACAGGATCTTCATCTTTTGGATTCCAAGCGACAAAGGCTTAGAATGTAATAAGAAAGGCAAACAGGCTTGTATCAACGCCGATAGGCTCGAGCCCTTCTTTGTAGTAGAAACACACACCATCAGAGACGAGAGAATAAGTAGAGAACAGCACTGGAACCAAACCACTGGGCTGCGACAGACAAATAAGCTATTAGGAGGATACAATAGAAAAAGATGTGATACGCTCAATAACCTCCCAAAGAACCAATTTATAATTCTAATAGGTATTTGAACAGGTGATTGCAGATTAAAAAGTCACCTATATAAATTCGGGATCTAGTCCAACGATTTATGCCGGTTCTGTGACAATTCACCTGAAACTTCTGAGCACATACGCCTCGAATGCGATGCTGTAACGAGAAGACGGAGAAGTACGCCTGGTCAGGTGTTACAAGTCGTGCCCATCTGATGCTCTTAATGTGATCCTGCCGATAGAACTTCACTTCCGCGAAACTGCTACGTCCTCGGAAATTACAATCAAAGAGTCAGGCTGCTGCAGAGCGCTGCGGCACGGTCATAGTGGTATTCTTGACAAGTTTATCAGCTTCAGAACAAGCTTTCAGGTGAAGTTTCTTTCTCGACGGGGTTGGATTAGGGGCAGGATAGTTGAAGGAAATTCCACTGAAATCTATACTGACTGGTCCAAAATGGACTGCGGTGTGGGTGCGGGGGTGTTCTCTGAAACGTTGAATGTTTTTCTCTCGTTCCGACAACCGAACTTTGCTAGCATCTTCCAAGCGAAAGTACTGGGAATCGAAAGATAGCCAAGGGGCTCTTCTGGCACTTGCCTCCCCGGTAACAAAGTCTAAAACAATCAGAGATGGCAAATGTGCGTTAAGCTCGACGGCCGAGTTATTTGGGTTCTCGGCCTTAGGAACGGAACATTAGAGGGCTGATGAGTTGGCTAAGGACTGAGTATCTCTTGATGAATCTGAAGCAGAGGCAATAAACTTTCCACTCGACTCATCAAAAGGGAACTGCGTCTGCAATTCGCAGTATGGCTGATGCTCGTTGGAACAACCTTCAACTTGGAAAAACTGCTAGGAACATATGGCCGCATTATGACAAACCAAAGACAGAAGAAGAGATCGAGGAAAGGCATACTCAAGTTAACAGCCACGATAACGGGCCATTGGACCATTGGCGAAAATGCAGCCAAAATAGTTCTTCCGTACAACCCTCGGCCCCGTAGCTGTAATCTTGAGGAAAGTAAGGAAACCACCACAATCTCGATGAAAGGACTCTTCTTGGATATTGTGTGTCTCAAGTGCCCAAAATATTGATTCTTCAGTAGCGCGTAGAGAATGGATCTCGTATTTAGCGATGCCGAAAGCGATCCAACTGCTAAAAATACTTTAGTATGTTTCGTGATTTGAGAAGAGATAGATTTCCGCAATACCTAAATTTCGGTAGGCCAATAATAAGTTAAGGTGAACTAAAGAAAAGTTAATTTCTAATACCGCTTCTTTTTTTATGCATATTTACGTTTGAAATATACGAAAATTGTTGTAGATTGTGAGGACTAAAGTTATTAGTAATTTTTTCCATAAACAAGAGTCGTATACTATGTTCACGTTGTGCCATAAACAAGAGTTTAAGCGTTTGTGCTTATGAACAACTGTCAAGTGTTCTCATCAGGATGTATAGGACACTAAGAGTTTCATTTGACATTTGTTTGTGCACTTTTTCTTATTAACATTGTCAAATTCTTTTTGTGAATTGTCAAAAGTCAACAATGCGGCTGAAATTCGACAACCGTGCTGCCTAATTTAGTCAATAAAAGGGTTGAATGTCCACAGTTACCAAATAAAAGTAGTCTTGGAAACGAGTTAAAGAAGAATTTTTTGTACCGCAAACTCCGTGTTTATGAGTAGTGTTTTAACGTTAAATACCAAAATGCCCCGTAAACTCGTGTTTATGGCGCAATGTGAACATTCTATTAAAGTCTATGTTTACAGTAAACTTACCTCGTCACGCATTTCTTGTACGTGTATATGATAGCCACGTATAATGCCATTACGATCTTTTTCCAATGGAGGTTTCCAGGTAACATGAATTGAAGTTGAATTTAATGGAGTTGCCTTCACATCTTGAGGATCTCCAGGCACTAAAGGTGTTGTAGGGAATAAATTTGTGCATAAGTAAAATGTAAGAAAATATATTGCAAAGCTGTGAAATTGGTACAACTAGCGACTTAAGACTTAAGTAATGAGTCTGACAAATACGTACATACTTAGCAGTTTATTATATACATATGTAATACTGATGCACTTAAAAGTAGACTTACTTACGTAAATGTATAACTAGCTTATTCAAATAACTAGGAATTACGCTAAGGTTTTTAAATGTAGGCAACGTTTAGTATGGGACCATATTTTTTTTACTAGGAAATTTTTCAAATACCTGAATTAGGTACAAATAATACTTGTCACATATTTATATTTCGATATAAATAAATTGAAATTAATATTTTTTAATAACAAGGGCTTCAATAAATTGTTTTTTTTTTTTTTAATTTTCACTGAAGAATTAAAAGATTTATAAATCGGATATGTTTTTTTTTTACTTTTGCTGTAACTTTTTCGGTGACAAGGTCATCATCACATCAAATAAATATATTTTTGTTAATCGATGAACAGCTGTTGTCAATTAATTAGTGAAAGTTTAGTGATGGGGTAGAAAACTTTGCTAAACTTACACTGAGAAATTGATCGTTGCTATTTTAGGGTAAAATTTTTAAAATTCACAAAAAAAAATTCGCAATGCTAAAAATATAATTTATGGCCAGCCTTAAAACTTAAAAGTGAAAAAAACTTCTTGGCAAAAAATTAGGAAAAATGCCTTTTTATTTCATGTTTTTTATTTTTCCAATATATTTGGGGTTTTTGGATTTTGCTTATAAAATATCATGGCCAGTAATTCAGCAAAAGTTTACTTGGGACTACACCACCCTGAAAAAAAATTTACAAATATTGTCGCTTAAAAAATTGTTCATACTTTTCAGAATCTTTCCCATTCAGAAATTCAAAGTGACAGCAGTTAGAAGTGGCAGCGGTAGAAAAGCGCCGAAGGGCGGAACACCTTTTTTCAAACCGGTGTACAAGGTATCTGATCGGATTTGGCTGCAATTTTCATCTCAAATTTTGTATACCGCGGATTTTTTAATTCGATGTCCCTTTCTAAAGTTTTAAATTTAATTAGCTAAACGTCCTCATCAAAATTCAAGTCGCGTTGTTCAAACCGCTGGGAATAAAAAAAAAAATTAATTTTTTCCCTACGTAGCGTCAAAAAAAAAAAAACATTCTTTTTATACCACTCATATAACCACCCCTTTATAAGTAATTATTATTTTTTAATTATTCTTAAATATGTATGTATGTATGTAGGGCCGTTTTCTCAAGTAGGGTTATTTATTTTCTTTTTAAATAAAAATTTTGTTCTAAAAAAATGTGTTTGAAGGGCAGATAAATTTTAAAACCTACTTGACAAAACGGCGCTTAGAATGTCAAATAAAAGTTTTTTTTTATAAATTTCATACCTGCGTTTGAAAGAAATTCATTTTTTAGCATATTTTTTGGACAGTCAGGGTGGTGTATCCCCTTTATGAGGTAGAAAACATGCCTAAACTTACACCGACCAAAGTATAGATACAATTTTGTAAGAAAACATTTTTAAAACTCATAAAAAATTTGGCAAATTTTGAAATATAATTTTTTACTTTAAAATATTTAATAAATAATTGGGAAATTTGCATTTTAATATCAGGGTTTTCATTTCTCCAATATCTTCACATGACGTAGATAACATATGCTAAACTTATACTAAAAATTGGGAGGAAAAAAAACTTTTAAAGCTTTTTTTTACGTGAAAGTGGAAAATAATTTTATAAAAAAAATTGGGACGTTAGCATTTTAATTCCAGGTTTTTTATTTCTCCATTATCTTCAAACATGAGATAGAAAACGTGGCTAAACTTACACTGAAAAATTTATTGTTGCAATTTGGGAGGAAATAAATTTTAAAACTCATAAAAAATTTTCAATATTAAAAATACAATTTATTGCCAGTTTAAAAACTAAGAAGGGGAAAACAACTTATAGAAAAAATTGGGAGATTGTGCATTTTAATATTTGGTATAAATTTCTCCAATATTTTTTTCTTCGAAATTTTCCGATTTTGTTTATAAAAATATCAGGGTTTTAAAAATTAGTGCGCTCAAAAATTGTGGAGCACTAAAAATTGCAGTGGGCTAAAAAAGGGTTATTTAATAACATAGCATTAGCCAAAAATTATTAAAAAGTGCATTCATATTTTGTATAATATAATTTTTTTATACGCTCATAAAAAACTAAAACATATTTGCATAAACCAAGAAAAAAAATACAAAATCTTCAGTGCTTTCAAAAGTGGTGCTTTTTATTTGTGCAAAAAAAGACATTTAGCATACCGAAGATGTGTTTAAAAATATATTTACAAGAGCAAATGTACAAAATTTCACATTTGAATTATAGACAAATATTAAAATAAAACAAAAACTTTAAATTATTAGCAGAAAGGTGCAAAAAACATACAAAAATTATGTAACCGAAAAACAGCTTTCACAAAAAATGCAGTGAAGCCGCTATTATATGCAAAAAAAGATTGGTAAATGCAATGAAAAGGGGTTGCGTGGTTTTTTTTCACAAAAAAAAACAAAATATTTTAAGAAAAAATGTTGCTAATGCATCCAAAAATTTATTTTGCAAAAATTGTGCATTATTATTTTTTTCCTTTCAAAAATAGTGCAAGTCTCTTAGAATCCTTTTGCTTGCTTGTTTTTAGTGAGGCGTAAGAACCCCGCTTTCTTTGTAGAAATAGAGAAGAAAAACACTTAACCAAAATACAAAAAAGAGATATGTTTTTAATTATTATATTTATGCTGTATAATTTTTTTTTTAGTGTATTAATATTTACAGATTTTTTTAAAATCATTTATAGACACATTCTTAAACATACCTATTTAAATACTTACAAGTAACTTTATCAAAATTCAAATACAATTACTTGCAAGAAGTATGTGATTTGTGTGGTTTGAAACGTGTTTTTTTGTACGGTGTACTCGATGTAGGAGCGCACGAGAGCGTAAGTGGCTGTATACGCGCTGCTCTCACAAATGCATTTGTGTGCTAACGTGGTTTTTTTCTTGTATTGCACAGTGTACAACTAAAGTGCGTGATTTTTTCTATTAAATGGTGCTTATCAAAAATTAAAAATTCATTCCTTAAAAATTGAATTTTTTCATAAAAAAATTTTTATAAGTAGATTTATGAAAAAAGTGCTTCAAAATGTCAAATACTCACTTTTCTTGACTAAGTTTTTATTTTTTAAAATTTCGTAACAATTTTCATAACATCATCCATTGAAAAGTGCGTTGCGTACAAGAAATTACAAAAATTGTGCAATTTTGGTGCGTTCAAAAAAGTTATTTCACACGCAAATACACACAGTAATACACCGAGAAATTTGCATATATATCACATAAGAACCGAAAAACATTTGTGCATTTGCAATTTGCAATTTTGTGCGGTATAATCCAAAAACCGCACGCAAGTCAAAAAAGTGCGTTTGGTTAGTAATTTTTTTTTTGGTCGTTTGATTACATTTTTCAATCACAAGTCAAAGACGTTGAGTGGTGCAATAAATTGTAGTAGCGAGTGGCCAAAAAATATGAAAGAAAGAGAGAAAAAAGAGAAACATTTCCTTTCGGTTAATACTACCATTCAGTTTATGCAAAAATTCACTGAATTCGTAGATAACAACTAAAATGTTAATGAAATAATAATTATCAAAAATTTCATGTTATTACGATTATTTCGTACGTAGACGCGATTCGAAGTGGAATTTGGGACAATGCATTAGTTAATATTTGTTGGCACACTCGCTTTTTTTGATAACAAGGTGAAAGTGAAAAAAGTTTTAGAAAATTAAAAGAAAAAATAATTAAGTTAAAATAAATAATTAGCAGTTAAAAAAAATTCACTTTAAAAATAAAATTTAAATAAATAAACATGATTGGCACTCACTGGAAGGCGATTTCAGTTTTGAGTCAAGCAAAAAATGCAACACTGCATAAATAATCAACAAGCACTTAAATGCTCTGATTGAAAACAAAAGTAATTATCATGTTATTTTACTACCATATGTAAAATATTTTTGCAAGAATTATCCTGGTATTAAGAGATATGACACAATATAGAAAAAATTCTACTAATTTGGAAATGGATTGCAATAAATGTGAGGAAGGTTTACTAATTTTTGATTCGGACGGAGTTCGGGCTATCAAATTTAAACGTTGAAACTGGTTTCAGCTTCGGACCTTGGAAAGCTTACTCATGGATGACGGAGGTTTATAGTTCCCGCCGAATCATATAAACCACCTGATTTTCTAAAAAACGAGAGGCTACAAGAATAATAAAAACTACGCCTTCATCTACATAGTTATGTACCTTTGTATATACATACATATGATCTTCACGAGAGAGATTAAAAACACTCACAGTATCATCAAAATTTTGCTAAAAGGATTATCGGAATATTTAATTTTGGCAAAGATCGGGAATGCGTTGATTAATGCCGAAGATCCCTACTTGCTTTTCTCGACAAAACATAACTAATCAATAATTTTTACTGGCTTCCGGGACAAACGTTAGGCTTGTCACGGGAATACTAATGGAACCATGGCCATTGACTGATGATTTCCACAGAAGCAGCGGAGACAAACTCTGAAGAAAGCGCCTAAAATTTCTGGAAGACAAGTTTATCGAGAGCTTGATAGCTTAGGGAAAATCTATTCGAGAGCCTGCTAGGATTCGCTACAGAATAAGGATGGTTTAAGGACATATATATTCTCTTCTGTGGCATCTCACTGCTGCATGCATAATCCAACCAAATCATATGTAATCATGTGCTGTAGGGCTGAGTAACTCGGAGAATTTTCAGGAGTAGATTCTTTGACTCTAGCACATTTTGATTTACTTTGATTGAAAAGTTGCAGCCACAAAATATACAAACTTCGATACGCATTTTTCATACAACATAATTGAAGATCAGCAGTCATTTTTGTGTACTT